AGGAGACATCAAACACTGAGATACTGGGATTAAAATGCGCTTACAGTTTCTCTGAACTGAGTTATAAGAATTGTAAGATCATAAATTTTCATTATATTGCTCAGAATGTTCGCGTGTACAAAATAATTTTTGACATTTGATTACGATATTTTATTTAAAAAATACATTACTCAGCAAAATGCATTATATGAATGAAATGTTAGTTCGGTTAATTTATTTCACAGCATACCGAACATCTGTTTCGTTCTCTTCTTAAATCTTCCATCAAGTACATGAAGTTTGTCAGCTGCATTTTTATTATTGTACTCATCTTTGAATTTTGCATAGACATCAGCATACTTCTCGATAATTTTCAGGCTAATAAAGTAAAATTCCAGGGCTTTTTAATGATAGATATTATAAAACACATCGACATTTATAAACATTCTATGAATAATATGGAGCTCTAATTTTTAAACCATGTGTAGTTTCTTTTGCACATTTATGCGGCGAAAGTGCTCAGCAGTGGTCTCAGACTCATAGCAGTGGTCTCCATCTATACAGAATTCTCTCAAAATTCAAACTGCATTCAGGCCGTATGCACGATCTGAAAATAAATGATGGGCCATATTTTTTTTTTTTTTGTTTACATAATGAACAGTTTTATCAATAAAATAAAAACATTTTTAAATACATTTTCTATTTCGCTTATTAAACATTTATCAAAACGTATTAAACAATAATAATAATATCAAAAATTTGACAAAAATTGCATTTATTTTACTTGCGAAATCTAAAGTTTGGTACCTGCAAGACATTTTTGTTGGTTTCTAATTCAATTTTATTGACAGCTAAATATTAAATTCATAAACCAACACCTTTTTCAAATAACTCTAATATATTTAATTAGTCATTAGCTAATTCAGTTTAAATTGAAAATAAAAGAAATTATGAAAACCTTCTATTTTTTCAGAGAAACGCTTCCATGTGGGACAAAACATGAGAATAAATAATGACAACCTAGCCCGTTTCTCTTATTTATTAAATTTTTTTCCGAGACATAAATAAAAATACAAATCTTTGCATGTAAATAATTATAATCATCTTTATTTCTTATAACAACTTGATGGTGTATCGATTCTGATGAAGGTTGCAATCTTCGAGAAAAATGACTAGAAATTTTCTTCATCACGCATAGAAAATAGATGCTTGTCGAGCAATCAGATTCCTTTCTTAGCAGTTTTCAACTGTTAAAAAAATACATAAAAAAATATCTCAAAGCTTTCAGATTTTACATTAAGAGATGTTTTACATTAAGATCCCAAAGGGATGTTTTTTAAACCTTTTGTAAGTTGCCTTTATTTATTAAATGTTCTTTGTAATTGACAATAAAATTCAATTCAACAATAACACCTAAAAATAATTTTTTTAGAAAAGCACATCTTTAGAATTTCCAATACACTGTCTCGAGTGCTGGAGATAAGAAAAGTTTTTTTTTTTTTCATCTTTTCCTAACACTTTTGCCATTGCTCGCTTTGAAATCGTTGAGTTTGTTAATCAAAAATTCATTTAAAATGTTACAAAATATGAAATCGATAATAAAACAATTCCAAATTCGTGTTTCCAGATGTCCCTATTCGGTGGAAAATTGCGTTATTCAAAACTTTTTTGCTCTAGGTACCGTTTTTTTATCACAATGCGAGAAACCATACATACATTTATGCAGATTCTTCATTATTTAATTTTTTAATATTTGGTGGCAACAATTTGAAAAATGAACCGACATTTAAAGATTTTCAACGCAAAATGAAAATAATAATAATAATAATAATAGCCCTTAATTCTGGGCTAACGCCCCTTGGGCTAAAAACTGTTCACATATAAATGTATTCCGAGACAAAGCGATTATTCACAGTGTAAAATTTGTAAATCTTTTATAAGATTTAGAGCGCAATCTAAATTAATTATCTCTACTTATAGACTTTCTGGTGCGACATACATGTTCGTTTCTAACCGTAATAAAAATGATATAAATTTTAACTTTAAATAACTAACATATTAAAATATTTGCAGCAAATGCATGATTGAAAAGTCTTTGCAGACCGCATAAAATTAGTTCTGGGCCTCATTCGGCCCACAGGCCGCTAGTTTGGGACCACTGGCGTACAGGGCTCAGACTTTCATTATACTCTTAAATACATTTTGATTTGAGATAATATTTCTAAAGGCCGTCTTTGTTATATATGATATAAATTACGCAGGAGAAATAATAAAAAGATGTGAGACAAAATGGCAGGAGAATTTTATTCCACACTATGAACTCGCTTCTCAAACAGGAAATGAAATACGGCCGATTAGCTCAAGGTCAGAAAGTGTGGGTGGGAATTTGGGTTTACAGCGCCCGCAAAGGCAGCTCCATCTAGGATCCAAGAAGTTAATTTAGCATAGTGTAAATTTCTGTAGTATTTCTGAATTTAAGAAGAACAAGAACTAAAGCCTCATTTTAAATTTGCAATAATGAAAATTAATTTTTATTTCATCCTACTAATGAAGACTCTCAGTTATAAAACATTGATTTTGATACAGTTATGGGGGTTAGGAATGTGTGATCGTAATCCTCATAGGTTCTTTTTATTGAACGAATGGTGCTTCAACAAAACTGAATGGCAGCTCTTTCGAGAACTCCAGTTGAAAGCATATCAAGCAAGTTCAGTTCCCATCACAGGAAGAAACGCGTGTTTCTACTCTTGTATTAAAAGTGAGCAGGATTTTTTTTTCCTTCAGCCTCGCACACTGCTCTTAATTCCCTCCCCGTTCCCGATCTCATTCATCAAGTTGTTAGTAGTAAGCGGTGACTCGTAGAAAGAACTGATTCAGTTCATTGAACAAACTGTTCTCTTTTGATCTCATAAAAGAGCGGTTTTGTCCACCTCTAGAGTGGAGACACGTTTTTGGCTCACTATGCTGTAGCCGTCTAGTGGTCCCATCTGTTATTGAGGTTGGCGTATGTTCCAAAAGATATTTCGAGGTTGGCAATGGTTTTCAAATTAAATGGTTACTACTAAATTTGTAGAAGAATGTGAAATTTACAGAAAAACAGTATTTTTAGATTTTTGTATTTATTTTTATTGAGTTTAATCAGTTTACACTAGAACTTATTGAACTCGTTGAATTTAAAACTGCAACATTATTTTTCCATTCGTTGAATTAAAGAGAATTAATGCTTCACTTCAACTCAAACTGGACTGACAATCGAGATAATTTGAAGGGGATTTTTTTCCCTGCTTTTTAAAATTATCCATTTTAATTTCTTCATTTTTCTAATCATTTTTATTGAGTTTTATCAGTTTTAAAATCGTAGTTTATCGAAAGTCTTTACTTAACACATTTTAGGCTTTGCTAGTTATTTCCTGTTTGTTGGCTATTTTCAAGTTCGGATTACAAATTTGCGTACGAATTTGTTTTTATATATACTCTATTTTCGCAAGTTTTGGTTTTGTGAAGAAACCCTCAAAATATTTTTTTTAATTGTTCTATTTTTTCGGAATATTTTTTGATTTGGTCTATGTTTCGGATGCTATAATTTTGCATGTTTGGCGCGGCTTGCTTCAACTTCTAGGGGTTAGAGTGATAAAGACATGGATTACTTTGATTGTTTCTCTAAGATTATTTTTTAATTTTAAATTTCAAGCTTTATTTTGTGTCTTTGTAGGTTCAGAAATAGGCTGTTTTATTTATTTATTTCTTTCGTTGTACTAACTTCTGATGACGATTAGTGAAAGCTGTAAATTTAACGCTTCCTTAATATTAAAATATATTAGCTATATGACATTTAGATGCTTAAGTAATTTCTAAGACCTCTTAATTCTACAAATTTAAAACTTACATAAACATTTGATGCTATATTTCTTACGTCGCAGACATACATTATGGAGATGACATAATTTTCCGCAGCCTCAGCAATAATTAATAAACTCTCAGAATTATCATTCAAATTTCATTCTTAATCTTGCCTGATTTAACTCAGCTTCAAACTTTCTGTAGTTAGGATATTTAAATAAAGTCTGATAATTGCTATTATCAGAATGCTATTGTGATTGAAATTGCTTTAGTTACATTTATTAACCCATAGTAATTCTAGATACGCCTCTTAAATGGGCTCCACTGGTGTCCCTATAAAGACACGAATGAATAATTGAACCTCTAACAGTCACCAGATGTCGAGGAACTAACAATACAATAACAGTAACAGAACAATAACAGTTTTATCCCAGATTTAATTTCGATGTAGGAAATACAATTGTTGTTAATGACTATTTTGCGTACCCTTCAGAAACTGGCTTAAACGAATGGCTTAAAATATAATATGTTTGCGAGAGACAGATCATGTGTAGTCATTGGTAAAGATTAAAGAATGCAGTCCAAGAGACTCTCATAATAAAATATCATCATAACTCACATGGCATGGTTAAGTTGTCATCTAACAAAAAATACTACTGATGTACGTATATTTTATCTGATTTTCTTTGATTTCTTTAAATAGCATTCTTTCATTATATTGGTATAAAATTTACATCCATGCTATTAATATAGTTCGGCATTTTGCTTCGCATTTAAGACGTCTGGACATTTGATTTGCATCCATTAACCTTTTCGTTAATTTATTGTAGAGATTCCTTACTCAGCTTAAAATATACTGAGACCGTTCGCACTTTTTATACGATTTTACTTTGCTTTTAAAAAAAGTCTCCTTGGGAAAAGTATTAACTGCAGCTACATTTTCCAAAGCGTAAATTATCTTCTCCTTGATAATATTGTTTTCATCCGAAATGGCAAGTAATGGACAGAAGGGTATGCTTGTCTCTTTCCGAAGAAAATCATTCGTATTTAGTTAATAAAAAATGCTGTACAAACCATGAGTTTTTGGCATCTAAAGCAACGATAGATAATATTGTCAATAAGAAAACGTCAGAGTTTGGCTTCAAAGAGAAACATTGTTCAAAATACATATCCAAGGAAAAAATGGAATGTTTCAAATGTTGGAAAGAGAAGAACTTTAGTGTTAAAATAATTCAAAAGATAGTTAAATAACCATTAAAATGCTCAGTGTCAACTGTAAAAAAAGTGGTTAATGATGATTTGATTCTTAAAACGTCAAAAAAATGTAATATGCATCGTCTTGCCCCACGAAATATCGCCGAAAGCAGAGCGCGATGCAGAATTCTCTATGAGAAACAATTATTCGTATAAAAACGGGAAAATGTTGTCACAATAGATGAATTTTGGGTATATTTAAATGACTGCAATAAAAAAAGATATATTTATTATCACAAAAGAGAAGAAAAAATCTTATAACATGATTCAAAGAATCTAAAGAAAGTTTTTCAAAGGGATTTATGATTGTTGTTAGTTTTTAATATAACGATAAATAAACGTTAAAGACAGTGCAGAAAACAGTTAAGGTTAACTCCACATATTTATCAGGAATATATTTTACACCCAATTTTGAAATATGGAATACCTTCCCTTTACCCACAGTGCTATCAATCAAGGCCATTCCCTTCATTTATATCCCCACTAAATCTTCTGCTGTATCATCCACGGATTTTGCGTTTTGTAACATCATTTGTTTTCATTTCACAGTACCAGGAAAAGACTAGTTCATGACATACTAACTACTTGATAGTTTGCACGTATACTTTGCACAGTTTGAGATATTAACTACTTGATAGTTTGCACGTATACTTTGCACAGTTTGAGATATTAACTACTTGATAGTTTGCACGTATACTTTGCACAGTTTGAGATATTAACTACTTGATAGTTTGCACGTATACTTTGCACAGTTTGAGATATTAACTACTTGATAGTTTGCACGTATACTTTGTTTGAGATACTTGCCATATATACAGCTATGTTGTACCTTCGTGTTTCTTGGTTAGATGTTGAAATTCATCACAATAAATTGAAGCAGAGTTAATTATTATCACTTAAATTCACAAGGTTGATAGATCATTTAATAAAAGTTGCCATGTAGCAGATTTTCACTCACAGTATACTAGGTCTCCAAGACTATGTCTGTCTATAGATACTTGTACAATGCGTGTTTACACATTTTTAGAACAATTTACGGGCCATTTAATTTAACTAATGCTATAGGTGTGAAGGACATGGCTTGGTGAATCTTCTTCGCTAAAACACAGCTTTATTAGCACAATTATCTCCTCATCGCCGAAACACCACTTTATTAGCACAACTATCTCCTCATCGCCGAAACACCATTTTATTAACACAACTATTTATTAAAACAGTCAAACTACTACATGGATGCTCGAACGTTCTCGTACTCAATTTAAGCTCAATGTGAGTGAGTTCCCTGGTCGTGCCGGTGGTTATCACAAAAACAACGTGACATCCATTGGCGACGCGAGCAGCCGAAAGTAAAACTAACACAGTGCTTAAAAGGTAAAGAGTATTTCTTTTAACGATTCATTCTGATAGCTATTTTTCTGTATTATACGTGTGCATTGTGATTTACGTGATAGAAGGACTTTTCGTAAAATTTCTAAGGGTATTAATTGCTATTCCTCTTCCACTACTTTTCTGTCCATCAATTATGCTGGGTTTGTGCTTAGAAATAACACTTTTCAAGAACGCCAGAAGCACAATAATCCATAGGCGAAACGTCCGGGCATTTTGCAGAATACTTTGTGAAACCATATTTGCAATTCCTGTATCAGTCTTAATTTTCTCAAAGGACGCAGTGGTACTTTTATGACAGGCTGCTTTGTATTGATGAAGTTTCACTCTTTGGAAGTCATCGGGATAAAGAAATGGAATCTCTTCTGTAAATAATGCATGCAAAGCTTTCTCTTAATAGTACGTTAAGTTGATCTTAACATTCTTTTTTCCACTCTACTAATTTTTAATTTCTTATTCTAAAAGAATTCGTCTACAATCGTAAATTCTTCATTGAATCTTTTTTTGCGTTGACGAAACTGAGTTTTTATAATTTTTTTCCTCTGTTTTTATAATAAACAGATCTTTGTTTTGCTGCAGTGGGTAAACCTCTGATTCGTCAAGAGCTGCAACATATTTCCATTTATTTCCTGCTAAGTAGTTTTCATATAGGGTTCTAGATAAATTGTTCTGCGCTGAGTCACATGTCTAGACAGACACTGCTGAACATTACGTTTTTGACTTTTTTTAAATTGCATGTCTTGGTTTAAAACTTTATTTGCTTTTGCTACAGATGTATGTAAAGTCATTGCAATTGATTTCTGCGTAGGAGGATTTTCCCTTGTTTCTCTTTGTATGGATGATTTAAGCTTAGAAACGTTAGAAAGAATATGCACCATGTTTGGGTATTCGTTGGAGTCTTTTTCTATGTAGAAGCATGACTGACAGTTTTTCACTTTGGCGATTAATAAATGTTGCTTATTTTGCGGTTAGAAATTTTAATACCATGCATTTCAAAAACATTTTAAATTATGGAATAAGAATATATCTCTTCTGATAGCGCAAAATCATATCCTTCAATCCACAGCTTGTTTACATGTGACATTTTGAGAGAAGAATAAATTTAGTATAATAGTAGACGATATTTCGCATTTAAAATAATAAGTCGTTGCCAGAATTTTTTTTTTTTTTTCCGAAACATGTGGGGTTTTTTTAGTACTTTACCGAAAATGTTCTAAAAAACTGTATAAACACCTACTGCATATTTTTGAATGCCTTATTTTCGCAATTTTAAAAATAAGTACGAAGGAGGTTTTGAGATCAGGTTTTGCAGGGAATTTTATGTACTATGGGAGAGACTGACTAACTGCCTAACTTTTATTTCAATATTTGCAAAATTGACATTCTGTTTTTAAGCTAAACTGTTTTTAACTGACTAACTTAAGATAACAGATAAGTGAATTGCGTCATTTATCATACAGAAAATAAAACAGAATACAGATGTTGCCGAAGCAATTGAAAACTAATCTTTCCTGTCTTTTAACCCAAACTTTTACTGACGGAATCATCTGTAAAGTTATGTAAAATATTCACATCTGGAAGACTACCATTTAATAATATTTTAAAAACATTACTCAAAATGTAAGAAGCTATTAGGATTTATGATAATATTAGAAAACAGCAACGTAATTATTTTAAACGCAAATATTATCTAGCAAGTTAATACATGAATCATAAATTAAACAATTACCTATTACTTATTAATGTAGCAGCTATATTTAGACAACTGGACGCTAAAATATCTCAGTTTAAGTAAAGGAATATTTTAGATAATATGGAAAGCAGCTGAAGAATGTAAATTTAAATGAAATACGCAATATCGCAATATGTTGTAATAAGTTTTTTTTCCCATGAAAATTGTACTCACGAAGTTACAAGAAATTTAAGCTTGTTTTAATTTTGTTTATCATATAAAGAAGGTTAGAAGGACAAAAATATGCTTTATTTTCAGTTTTTTTACTAATTGTTTTCGCTCGAAAGTCTAGAGGGAAGAATTATGTGTATAATTTAATTTCAGAAGGAGAATATTACAGCAATAATAAATGAAAAGCAATCATGTATTAACTATAGGTAACTATCAGAATATTATTTTTTAAAAATGAAATCGGTATTCCATTGAGAGCGCATAATAGTATTAACCTTACCATCTAAAATGATATCTTCATTCCTACTTCTCGGTAACTTGACTCTCGCCCGGTTTTTTTGTTGTCTCTACTACTTCATGGGCCTGAAATAAATAATTAAAGAATGTGAATATGCAGCTGAAGCAGAAAAATCGTAGACGGAATATCATTTCGTGTTTGCTTCTCTGTGATGTGTCTAGCCTTGTATTTGGCTGGCATAAATTTCAACAGCAAAAACGGAAAGGTTCGGCGTATCCTTAGCCGGTAGTTTGAAAGGTTTGTCTTTATTATTAAGATGAAACAATCACTACTATATTAAAATTTAAGGAAGCTCCTTCTCTGAGCGCATGGAACGCACTGTTCGCTGTACCCATTGCCGTTGTTACAGCATTATAGGTCCACGGGTAAATAGGTGTGCTGGGGACCCTATTATAAACACTCACATAAATGAAATGTAAATCAAGTATAAACGGATTAGCATGGAGTTCGTATGCTCGTGGGGTAAAACTATTACGCGCAAAAAGAAACAAGTCTTCATAAAAATTAAGATTCTGTTTTTTTCCTTCGTCTTAATGCGGGAGGGAATGATTTACTGATAAAGAAACTGCAACACTGATTTTATATTCAAGCGCGAAACTTCCTCTTGGAAGAAAAATTCAAATGGCAGTTATTTTTATTAGCAATCTTGTACTCTTTGATAAATATTAAAACATTTTTAAGACTCATGTAGGCAATCAAACTGTTGCATTGAATATATAGAAGGTTGTTAAAAAAAGCAGGTATACGCGAGTGTATAAGGAATTTTTCAAAACCGTTTATTTTTTAATTAATTATCCGATTAGTTGTTCTATAGTGCCATAACACTAATACCCAACAATCCGAGGCAATGGAAAGAAAAGAATAAAATATGTTTTCAAACCGCAGTCAGGTTTATAAGGGATCTATTCTAAGATATCCATCAAAAATCTATGTGTCGAGTGTTTCGTAATTTTGCGCATCATTAAGAAACACTGATTTTGGCAATTAAGACCTTATGCGTAAATCTTTGCTAATTACGCAGTATAAAGCATTTAATAAACATATGCACACACTTGTGGCATGGTAAATATTCAGCTCTCATCAAAGAAAGTCTAGAAGGCGGAATTAATGCAGGAACCATTTAATAGGATGCTATTAATAAACGCAGCACTTAATTTAAACGCGTAATCTAATTTCTACGAGTCTTTACATCAAGCCGTGAGTGCTGTGCTTGTAACCCGGGAACCTAAATCGCCAAAAGGTTCGCCAAATATTAAGAAACAACGCCAGACACTTGACCGCTCGATGCTATGCATGACAATTAATGGCTCTTCCTCGCACGTGAGGGCCGAAAGTGTTCGAGCGTGTATGTGCGCTTGGGTATGTGTGTGTGCTTTACTCTGATATGGGGGAGGTGAGCAAGGTGGAAGGGGTGAAAGTCTTGCCAAGATCAATAAACGGCCGCAGCTTGTAGATGGACGAGGGGGAAATATATACATTTTATCCGCGGTTTCTCGTGATATAACAGTGGAATTATCTCAACACAGAAACATAGATGAAACCGTAAACATTTTAGCACACTATCTGCATGAAACAATGATCCTACTTTCGCTTAAAATCAAACTATAGAGAAAAGAATCATATGACGTCAGCATACTAAACGACGTAATCACTGATTAATTTTATTTTTAATGGATTTTCAATATTGCTTCCAAGTGGGGCGATGCGGTTTTAAGAAAGTTAACGAGAACAGTCCAACGAAGAAAACTGTTTACGAGCGAATACAACGCTGACGAAAACGTCCCGGAGAAAACAACGCAAGACGAAAACCTCATTGGACGCAAGGTTTCGGTTTATTTAATTATGGCAAAGCACACTAGGGCTATTTGCCTAACGGGAGGGATGCCTTCGTGGAGTACTTTGAAAGGGAAACTGGCTCGTATACACGTTACACATGGGGAAAACCACGAAAAAACCCATGCAGCCAGCTCGTTCGTGGGATTCGAACCTCGGACCGAACTACCAGTGTTCAGCGACTTTACCGCTCGGCCGCTGGTGGACAATCGGACGCAAGGCGCAAGGTGAAAACCTCGTCATCGTGTGAGAAGAGGAAGCAAGGATAAAACATCTTAGTTCTAAATCATTGTAGTATAGAACATCGTCGTCGAAAATAAAACAGTTAAAAAATTTCACAATTTAGAAATATCGCCGCTTAAAATATCGTAGGAAAATTAAAATACGAGTACATACAAACCATCGCATGGTGGTAACATCGCAGAAACGCATGTCTTTCAGGTTGTAAATGCCTATTTTCATAATTTAAGAATTTATGAGCGCAAGAAAGAATGAGCAATATTTTTATTTTTGTATTTCGTATTTTTAAATTAATATACAAATTTTTGCTGAAATAGTAAGAAAGAAACTTAAGAATTCAAAAATTGAAAATGAGTATAAAATTAAATATAATTATAACGGTATTATAAGAAAAGTATATATACTTATAACTACACTATAGAGTTTTAAGCTAGTTAAATAAAAAAGAATTAATCAAACACTTTTATAAAGTTTTATTTTTTTATGAAAAAATGTAATTTAAAATATGATTATTAAAACAAAGATGAGTAACTATTTTATTTAGCTATATTATCAAAACAGCAGATTATTTCTTTCACCTTTGTTAATCTGATATTTGTTTCAGTTCGTTCAGGTATTCGCTTTCAGTTTATTTATCTTCTTAAAATGTTATTAACATTTTCACTTACAGCGTACTTTTAACTATTTGGATGCTGATTTGTTAGGTATGATAAAACATATCAGCTACATAATATTTCAGTAGGAGATTTTGCATTATTGAAAAGCACACCAGCGCTATCTATTTGAGGGGAGGAATGCCTTTGTTGAGCATTTTCTCAGGAACTGGTTTGTATCGAGGTTATACATTAGATAAGCCCCGAAGTCTCGTGGTGCCAACTCATTCGTCGAATCGAAATATCAGTGTTCAGGGATTTTAGCGCTCGGTCACTAATGTTGCTGGCCAGTTCAGCAATGGAACAGTAACGGAAACTAGTTCGCTTTTTCTCATTGGGAAGACTTCCAATTTAAAAATATACCTTATTCCTCTTTGCTCTCACAAATCATTATATGAATATGCAATTACAACATTTAAAACATGGAAACGCGTATCTGCAATGTATCCCCATGCAATGATATGTAAGTGCTTCATTTTTTACAGCGATATTTTCGACGACGATGTTTTCAGACTGAGAAGTTTGTAAACCGCTTTGTTTTTTATGGTGATGATTTATATCGCAAAGTTTTACAACTGCAATGTTTTCTCCTTGCTTTCTTTTGTCCCACAATGTTTTGTTTAATGATATTTTCGACTTGCGTTACTTTCTCCGTGACTTTTTCGTTAGGATTTTCTACCGAGATATTTTCGGCAGACACCAGAAAATTGTTAGGATCACCATTCAACTGAAAGAAGAGATTATTGGAAAGTGTGAAGATGTCATGTGCATCCTGGACTTGTCTATTATACATACCATAAAATGAGTATGGTGTTATCTCTGTCTGCGAAAAACAAAGATGGCATTAAATCGGCTAATATTGCGAAGGGGATGAAATCGATTACCAAACAAAATGAAAGACGTTAGACTCTGTTGAAAAATCGTTTTTGATCTGGATAGCAGTAAAATGTTTACGTACAGTTTTAGAGACATTAGTCGAAGCATATGAAAAAATGAGCAATGCCCTCACCTCTCGAATACGCGCCGAGTGTGCTGACCACTACATCAAGAAGGCGTTCTAAGAAGGCGGGGGGAATGCATTATATACTCCCCCTTTTAAAGAGCGACGGGGGATTAGATGACCCAATCGCGAAATCCTGGTGGTGGAGAATCTTTATACGCCACCTTTTGTAGTGCCGGTGCCACTGTAGAGACATTAGGTTATGCAGGAGAGATGAAAAATGAGCAATGCCCTCGCCGGGACTCGAACCAGGGACCTCTCGATTGCGCGCCGAGTATGCTGACCACTACAGCACGAAAGCATGCTAAGAAGGCGATTGAAATACCTTATGCAATAAAATGTGTAGTGATCAATATATACACAGTGTACATTTCACCCATTGTGTTTGCAGTTTAGTATTAAACAGTGTTATAATAATATAAATAGAATATAATTTGTTGTTTTATAAGAATTTATTATTTATTTTCCTTTTATTTCCTTTTTTAAACGTTAGTTCGCTAGATGTCCGGTTTTGTTATGGCTATGAACATATCAGCTACAAAATAGTTCAGTAGGAGTGCAAAACACACTAGCGCTGTCTACTTCAGGGGGGGATGACTTTGATTTTCTCAGAAACTGGCTTGTATGGATATCACACACCAGAAAAACCCTGGTCCATGGATCTGAAACAGATTAATGACGTATACACTGAGGTAACACTCTGTTATCATCTTAGTTACTATGTTTCAGTTAATTAGGATACTTTCCCTACTACTAGTCCTGTAACAGAAAATATGATGCATTAATAAAATAACACAAATAAATAAGGGAAATGTTACTTGAAACTAAGTAACTTCTTCCAGCATTGACGCTCCAGGGTAGTATGTTGTATTAAGTGGAAAATTCACGAACTTGTGAAATTCGACATTGATAAAATCATTAAATTGTGTTAGCTTTATGCATATAAATGCGCCAATACAAAATATAAAACACACGATAAAGTGACCTTTTGCGAATACAAGAGCATCTCGAGTATTTTTTGTGAATTGTTTTCACAGTCAAAACGATAATTTGTTTGTCGACGTTCAGGCAAATGAGCCTTATCAGAAAAGATAATATTTTGCCCAAAATAAACATTCTCGAGACGTTCATTTAGCTATGATAAATTTTCGGAGGCTACGAAACACACATAAAAATGAGTAACAATGTTAACAATTTAAACATGTTGTCATTTCGCCTTAAAATCATGACGTTCTTACTGGAACACTCTTTATAAAAACGAGAGGCATTTTTATTTTATTTAAAAACACTTACATAATTATAAAGAACGATTAAACTATAAATTTAAAAAACCTGAAAAATGAAATAGAGGATTTTCTTTACAATCGTACTATAAAACTTGAGAAATATAATTTGCGGCTTGATAATAAGTGAAGATTCTTCCCAAAAATAAGGCACCATAGGGTAATTAAAGAAGCTTTTTTATGTATATTAGATATTCTACTATGCATCTAAGGGGCCTACGAAATAAATACATGTAAATTGCAAATTAAGCTATAATTTCGCTAAAATGAATAATATGAATAAATATTATCCTTTCGTTTTGCTTGCATCGCCTCTGCATCTATACTGAAAATAAAAAATTCTGAGAAATATAATACTTGTATTATTCATTATCGTACTCGTATCATCTTTGTTACACGTTTTAGACCTTTTAAAACTGTTAGCACGCAATCAATTTTCCAAGCAAAATAATCGCGGGCATACATTTTTACATATTATGCTTTGAAATATTTTAGCTCATTATTGAAACACTTTGACAAGGTTCCTGAGACGCTATAAAAATTATGAAATGCATTTCCTTTCCCCAAATTGCCAAAGTAATCTTTTAACTGAAATAGTGCTTAAAAGATGAATACAAGAATTCTCGTAATCCATACATTTGAATACTACTACAGTTAAACCCATACTTAACATTTTTGTCATCCAAATGAATTCCAGGGAAGTTATACATCCTAGAAACTTACTTCCTTTTGCACATTTCTGGTTATAACGTATTTATTTGTAGCGTTTTAACTCAAGAGGTGCTATCCTCACTTTTCGAATAAAAGAATGTTGAAATGTTATCCACATCTATTATTTTTAAAGAAGTTATATAGAGAATTTAAAGAAAATTTATGTTAATACTTAACTTTGCATCGGGAATTCTAAATATACGCTGCCTTAAAAAATTTTGTGATTTTGCCGTTGAATTTTATGTTTTGTAAGTTCGAAGAAAGTTGTGTTTAATAAGAACGTTAAAAGGCTTGGTTTGGTTTATTTGATGACAGCAGAGCTCGCAGGGTCTATCTGCCTAAGGAGAGAGATGTCGTCGTGGAGGCCGTTCTAAGGGAAATTAACTAGTATCCTGTTACAAATGTGGGAAAACACAAAAGCATCCATGCAACCAGCACGTTTGCTTAGAATGCATGGCTGCTGGTGAGCTATAAAGTTAAAAATAACGAGAAGAAATGACAAAAGTATTGGTTAGCAGCAGTGAATCCAAGCGCAGATTGGCAAACTGACAATTCAGAAGGAGCATACAAAAAAACTTTAAAAAACCTTCTGATGCGATATTAAAATTTGAATCCTTTCATTTTTTTCCTATTTTTTATTTATTTCCACTTTTATTTACTAACAGTTTAAACTCCGTAGTTATAATGAGGTTTCTCTTAGAATGCAAGGAAGCAGTTGCCTTTGAAGACAACTACTTCCATTTTCTTATGCTATTCTGTTTTAGTCACGAGAAATCATACTCTGTTTGTTACAACGTACGCTTTTGATTTAAAAAATATAAGCCGGCAAACACAATATGTTACTTTCTATTGTGTTTTTTATTATACTGCGATACAAAATTTCCGTTGTTAAAGATAAGAGAAAGTGTCTCGCAGTTCAATCAATTTTTGAGTAAAAAATGAGGCACTTTATAACGATGGTAAAAATATTCTTAAAAGGTTTATTTTGAAATTCGTAGTTCCTTTGTTCTCTAAACATATTTCGGTTGCATTATTTATACAAAGGCACAAGGCGTAATCATTTTGTTTGTATTAAGGAGGAAATGTCGAAAGTCGATATTTCCTTTTTTAAAGAGCGGCCAGCAAGTAGACAGATTCAATAAAATATGTATTACTGATTCACGAACTTTAGAAAATACTCAAGAGTTTGATAATAGTTCTAAAGCCTAATTTTTATTTAAGAGAATAACATACAAATTAAAGATTCTTGTGTTTTTGAAGAGAAATGTGTTTGACACTACATAAATATAGATCTATTTAAATAATAGTAGTAATCAGTAAATAACTATAAATCTGTTTAAATATCATTAGTAATCCGCATCAGTTGGAGTTAAGGCTTGCTTTTCAATAAATATAACAGATGCAATAAATATTTTGAATTTTATAAATTACTTGGAAGTACTGAACTGAACTCAGTGGCGCAACAGCCTTAGTAGGCCACGGCCTGCAGTGCCCTTTTTATGCTTTCTAGACCTTTGGGCCCCGGAGTGCATCAGCATATGCCTGTCAACCTTGCCCAGCCCGGGGATCGAACCGCGCACTTGTGGTGCAATTGTGGTGCGCTAGCCACTTCGCCATTGAGCGGTCATTTGGAAGTACAGCCTTAGTATATATGTATACATAATGTGAGTTTCCATTAGTTAATTACTTTGAATTTTTTTCACTATAATTTTATCATTTAACGACTGAGTGGTTAAAGTCCCGCTGAATACTGGTAGTTCAACTTAATGCTTGATTAAATACCAACTTACTGTAGAGAGTTCTTCAAGAAGGTATCTCTTCCTTTAAGCAGATAGACCTTATGTGCTTTACTATATTCTAGTAACCTGAACATCTTTAGCATCTGATAACAGTATATGTAATTAGAAAAGCTTATTTTTTTCACTAGCCCGTGTTCAGTATAAAGAAAATAAACGGACTACGTTTACTATAATATGATATTTACTATAATATGACTTTTAATGGGCTATTACTAAAAACTCTTGAGTTAGTAAATCACCAGTCTTTACTCCTATTCTTCATAATATTTACGTATTTTGCATAATAATTATTTATCTTAAAATCATGAATATACTTCTATTTTAATAGAAAACCATTAACTGAATAACTACTGCAATAATTATCATTTGAGAAGGTAAAACGTAATAAAATTTTCTTTGCCGAATTTGCGTCGAATTAATTAATCTTTAAATAAATTCCAAGGTTTGCTTTGTCTTTAAGTACAAGAAAGCTCTTATATTGTTTCCTAGAAGTAGTGGTTTTAGAAAAAAAGTGTTTCTAAGGCATAAGTAATTGAAGTAGAAAAGACACAATTTTAAATAAGTATGTTTTTAATTTACATTACGAACACATTTTATACAGAAATGTACAAAGTTGCAATGAAATTCCTAACGCTTTCCTCATTTTATTTAATCACTGGCATTTCAGTTAAAAAATTCTGGACTGCATTATTTTCTTAGAATAAGTTAAAGATTATATTAGCAAAATTTTGTTACTGTCGACATATGACTCTTTAAAAGGTAATTTTGCATAGTTATCGTCATACTTATTGAACAGATATCTGAAACATGCAAGAAATAATTTTTAAATTTAATTTTAGAAGAGAATTCACTTTCCCAAAAGCAGTAGATGAGATGTTTTAAGTTTGTACATGTTATATAAGCATATAAAAGTTTCAAATGGGAAGCAAACACGCAAAAGAAAGATTTAAAATTAGGCGTAAAAAAGCATTCTTAATTTGAGGTAGAACAGAAAGAGAGCCCTTCTTTTCTTAAGCAAATATATTTTGGCCTCAAGCGTAAATTGTTTAGTATCATGTAACTTTATGTGATATCAATAAAATAGTACTTTCTTTGTCCAAAAAATTAATGTTTCATTGATTGGAAAATGTATAATTTACTATCTAAATCTCATTCAAAGTATCTTCGAGATCTGATTGAAACGTTTTAAGCCTGACATTTTACTCAGAATCAAATGATTCTGTGCCCACCTTTTTTTTCGGGGGGGGGGAGTAATGTCCTTATAAGGAATTTCATTTTAACAAAGTTTTATATAAGACTGAAAGTGCGTCATAAACTATTTTGTGATCTCTTTCAGCACTGCCGCTATCGTATTTTTCACATAATTGTCTAAAAAGAACCTCTTTCATCCAGTTGTCTTTACAATGTAGAGAATGCCTAGAAACCTTGTGGAAAATGTCACACAGACGGGATCCTTACTACGTTGGAGACATTCTAGAATTAGCGCAGCGTTTAACAAGTCAATGTCG